TTACGAAGCAAAGAAATCCCTGACTGGCGGGGTGTTCTTTGTGCAGGCAATCACTCGCCATCTGGCAAACTCCTCGGTATAGAGTGCTTCCCTTTTGGAATCCTTATAGAGAAAGGAACGGTGAGTGACTGAACTCCCGTTTTTGATCGGCAAAATGCCCAAAACTTTGGGAGAATTTTGCCTCTGAGATTTGTTATTTTTGCCACAAATTCAACATGCATCCAAACCAAAATTAGCTAAATATTGAAAGTCGAAATGAAATGCAAGGCTGATTTCATCTTTTAATACCTGATAAATGATTGATAAACCGATATACTTTAATGACTTCTACATGAAGCATTCTATCTATCTATCTATCAAAAATTCTATTACTACACCCGAGCATTAGACTCAGAATACGGTGATAAGCTTAGCTTTGATATTCAGTCTAGGAAACGTGATATTCTCAGCAGCTATTTCTTTTCCTAAACACTAAACATGATTCTGATTGCCTTGAACATTTCGTTCTTCTATTCTCGAATCGTTCATTGCTCGTCTGATCTGTTCCCGAATTCTGTCTGTGTTTCGGTTCCTTTTCTTCTCTTTTCCCGAGTTTTGCACCCATTTCACTCGAACTAATCCCTCAGCTTATCTTTTCCACAAATTGGTTTCTCTGTTGAAAATCGGCGGAGGATTTTTGTAGAACGTTCGTGTAAATCACTGGAAGCACAATTTTTGTGTGAAGAAAAGTTGCACTGGCTAATTTTCATGTAGTTTAATCGATTTAAAACAAAATCTTTATTACGCAATAAGTTATTGTAAAGAAATGAAAGAAAGCAACAAAGAAACTTCAGAAATGAGAGCAACTTTGAAGGTAAGCGTTGCAAGTATTGCAAGCAAGAGTTGCAAGTATTGCAAAGATGCAGAATAGGCTGTAAAAGTGATTTTACCCGGCGGTAGAGCTGAAATTTATAGATAAAGATCAAGCTTTAAACGATCTTGTATTATACAAAAGTCAAAAGTCAAAACAATTATGGAAATATTCATTTATGCAAGCAAAGTAACGATAAAGTTAATGGATTTAAAGAAAAATTTGATATTAATATCAATTTGACATAAAATTCTGGGTTAAAAGTAAGCTTTTGGTATGCTGAAGCTTTTGGTATGCTTTTGGTCTGCTGAAGCATAAAATACTAGAAAAAGAATGGTGCAATAGTGAGAAAATCTCGTTGTTCATGATTCTCAGCTCTCAATCTGATTCTTCTTTGAAAGAAATACGAGACTCCATTTGAGATCATTGCAAAGGAAAGACATGAGAAAATAATAACCAAATCAACATCTTTTCCAAATCAGATATTCAAAGTCAAATTGATATTAACATCTAGATTAAAATCAAACTTTAAACGATCTTGTATTATACAAAAGTCAAAAGTCAAAACAATTATGGAAATATTCATTTATGGAAGCAAAGTAACGATAAAGTTAATGGTTTTAAAGAAAAATTTGATATTAATATCAATTTTATGTCAAATTGATACTGATATCAATATCAATTTGATATCAGTATCAATTTCTGGACAGACATAAAATTCTAGGTTAAAAGTAAGCTTTTGGTATGCTTTTGGTCTGCTGAAACATAAAATATTAGAAAAAGAATGGTGCTGTTGGGTATAGGCTGTATCCAAATCCCTTGGTTCAAGGTAGAAAAAATAGGAGGATTACGAGAGAAATAGATTTTTATCGGAAGAATTTCCGAACAGGTGCAATAGTGAGAAAATCTCGTTGTTCATGATTCTCAGCTCTCAATCTGATTCTTCTTTGAAAGAAATACGAGACTCCATTTGAGATCATTGCAAATGAAAGACATGAGAAAATAATAACCAAATCAACATCTTTTCCACAAATCAATCCCATCACTAATAAAATCGCTCCAGTGATAACAAGATGGCCAATAAAGATAATCAATAATAGTTTCAGAAAAAGTGGTGGTGATAGGCTGTAGAGGAATTTCTTCACGGTTTTCACATTTAAATATAAGTAAGCAGTTGATATCACTGCATAGAGCAATAGAACAATCGTGTAGTGGATAAAATTCGAGCCTAATGTCCAGAGAATGTAAAGACTTGTGTCACTCCATCGTGTTTCACAGCTGAATGCAAAGCTGACAAGTCGATAAATATATAGAGAAATTATTGTTGTGATTGAAGAAAATAAGCAAAACCAATAAGTGCAAGTCTCGATTCCGAATTTGCAGATCTCTTCTTTCAGCTCATCTTTCAATAGCTGTCGATTTTCTGTTTTCCCATCTTGCAATTTATGTTGTTTATGTAGGATTTTAAAATATCGAGAAATAAAACACTCATACAGAGAAACGATTAAAATAATTGCTGCAAGTCCACCATGGAATGTGAATGGACAAAAAATGTATCGAGTCACGACAAGAAACCAGTAATCATTTTGGAATTGTCTTGACAATTCTTCAAGCTCTTCAAATTTTGCCTTATCAATGGCAAAGAGTTTCTCTGATAGGCTGGCATTTGAATAGAGAGGGATTCGAGTGTCACAATAGATCTTTCTCAATGGATTCTCCAAAGCAATCCCCGGCTCGGCGCCCAACCATGGCCATAAGTGCAAGGGAACTCTAAACAATTTTAAAGATTTAAATAAAGCTTTCTAATACTATTAGATTGATAGAGAGGCTTTGAAAGGCTATAAGAACCTTTCAAATAACTTTCTAATGTCTTTCTATGAGCTGTACTTTAGAGGTTTTTTTTTCTAATTCTTACAGTAAGAATTTCTCTTTAAACCCACATTGATTGCACAATCCAAATAAGAATCGAGAGAATGAGACAGAGATATTGATATGGAGCTGATTGGAGAGGTTTCTGTGTGTCTCCTTTTCGTGTCTCCTCTTCTCCCTGCAAAGCGCTCGTTTCTTTCTCTTCTTCGGCGTTCATTCCTAAAAAAGAAACAAAAGAGAATGGAATTGAATCAGAAAATTCGTTTTTATGAGTTTAAATACATCGCTAAAGCTGGGATTGGGTTTGAATCTAAAAGAATTCTCTAGCAATAAGGAAACTTTGACCTTTTGACCTTTTAAGCAATCAAAATCCCAAAGACAATCCTATTTAGAATGTTTTAGCTATTGGGTTGGTGAATTGAAAACTGCGGGTTATTGTCTATTGTCTAATTTGGGAAAGATTATGATACGTTTAGAGAGATCAGTTGTACAAGAAAGGTATAAAAAGATGTGTTCAAAAGATCAAGGATAACAAAAGTGGATATTGACAAAATTTGTTGGCTCTCGTTGATGAGGAAGAGGAGGAAAAGGAAGGGAATCATCAAACGGTTGGGAATTTATTGGAAATAAGTTTAGTAAGCATTTCAGGAGAGTTTCTCGAAATGCACAGATATAATTCAAATTGTGTTCGATAGAGAACGGAGAGAGTTCGTGACGGTAAGTCAATTATATTGGGTTGGTGAATTGAAAACTGCGGACTATTGTCATATGTGACAGTTTGAGCACTTTCTTCAAAAGTAACCCTTTTTGGTGTCAATGGAAAAGTTGTAGAGAATCAAAAATCAAGCTTATATCCAAATTTTCAGAACGATTCAAAACCTGGTCTTCAAGAAATGCCAAATTTACGAATTTTCACAAAACTTGCATTTTAAGCGAAACTACTAAGTGTATCTTTTTGGAAATTTAGCTATAAGCCTCATTTTTGATTCTCTACAACTTTTCTATTCACACCAAAATGGGTTACTTTTGAAGAAAGTGCTCAAACTGGGACATCTCCAGTCCTCAATTTTTGAGTCTCACACTTGTCTCACACACAAACCAAAATCCTACGAAGAAAGAAGAATCCGCAAATTGCCTGTAAAATGGGCAGAAGTCGTCAATAATAATATAATATTTGTCTATAATCTATCTATTTTTTCTTACATTTCTTACAATAAATAGCCTTGTTTGGGAACTTTTGGCGCATTCTCCATACAGTCCGGACCTCGCCCCTTTTGATTACTATTTATTTGATTACTATTTATTCCGGATCATGAGTAATGAGCTTGCGGGAGAACACTTCGATTCGGAAGAAGCAGTCAAAAATTGGCTTTGAAAGTTTTTCGATTCAAAACCAAAATCCTACAAAGAAAGAGGAATCCGCAAATTGCCTGTAAAATGGGCAGAAGTCGTCAATAATAATGGAAATTATTTCGAATGAATTTATGGTTTTATGTTGAATAAATTTTAGTTCAAAGTCCCGCAGTTTTCAATTCACTAACCTAATAGTTTAAAATAGTTCACTAAAGAAGAGATAGATAGGAGATCAAACAAGAATAGAATGCCTGAAGATTTGATAAGAAAAAGTTTAATAATATGAATCAAACGCAAAGACAAGGCCTAGCCAATAAGACCAACAAGTGAAATCCGAAGAATAATTCAGTAGTGTGTTTGTCGTGATCGATAAAAGCGTCTCTCACCCATTTCCCTCATGCGATCCGAGGGAATATCGGCTTCTTTTGGTCAGAAAAAAAGGCCACAAACGAGTTGCGTTGAAAAGGGAGAGAAAAACGAAAAACAGGGTTGGCCCTGGAGGAGAGAAGGGTGAGAAATCTTGGCAAAGAGGGGCAAAGCTTGACCACCCAATTAGATTTCTCTTCACTCAAAATCTTTTGGCTGTTCATTGTACAGAAACTAACAAAGGTTGATAATTCAGAAATCTTTCCTTCAAATTTTTGTGCCCAATTCAAACACACTAATTAATTCACAGAAACTCTTTTATCCCTGCTAAAATAGAACAGATCAATTCATAAATAGCACACAGTTTACAATATAAATAATTATGATAGAACTTTCAATAACTTACAACCAGAATGATAGATAGAAAAAAGAGAAAGAAATCCATCGACGGTCCCGTATCACAATTGTTTAGTCAAAGTGGTGAAGAGAATGAGAAAAAGGAAAGAACTAGAGAGATAGATTGGACAAATAAATTGATTTCAACAAAATTTGCATAAATTTATGTCCTGACTTGGAAACGTCCGGCTTTTGTGATGTATTTGACTCCCTAAAGCTTTTCATTTCTTTGTCATCTGTGCTTTAATTTATATGTTATTTATGAATTAGTAAAGTTTTATTAAAATACCTTGAAGGGCTTGTACTTCTCTCCGTACATGTCCAAACGGTTCACCTAAAAATCAGTTACTTTTTGAATCAGATTCTTACGCTTGTAATTAAAGATTTTGAATTGCATTAGATTTATCTTTCACTAATGAACAGTTTAACTGTTAAGCAAAATATTAATCTAATATTAATCCCTTTCTTCTCCTCTTCTCTCCTTTCCTTTTCGTTTTTTTGATTTTCAAATTTCCAAATCAAAATGGCAAAGAGGCAACGAGGAGAATTGAACCCTCGACCCTTTGCCTCCAAGCAAACACTACCCATTGAGCTATAGGGGCTTTCCTTAGCAGAAAAAGAGATGAGGTGAAAAGGCAAGTTGTCTCGCAAATCCTTTTCCAATAGCTTTTCCAACCTTTAGTCCGGAAACGGTGAGTTGATTAATCTTGAACTTGACAGTGATTGGCGGCGGTTCACAGGCAGCAGTTCCCGAGATCGATACCTAGATTCACCAATTCATCTATTTTTTTTTTCTTCTTTCCCAACCGTTCCCTTGAGTGTTGGTGGTTTTCCCAGCTCAATCTTTCCAACATTCCATTGAAGGAGTTTACTTGTTGGATCGAATGAGTATTTCCCGTGTGAAGGAACCAGGCTACAGTTGAGTACCGCTTTGGGCATCGACATCTCGACAACGACTTCTTCTAACTAAAAGATGGATTTACCGTTAAAAATCTTGTTAGAACATGTACTTTATGCTTGAAAACACATGCTTTCTAGCACAATGAAAGAAATTGTCAATGGTTTACCATTTTCCCCATGCTCTGTTTCGGTCCAACAGTCAACTCAAGTCTTCCAGTACCGCCTTTTAGTTGAATTGAATGTCTCATATAAACAGGAATGGCTACCATACTGAAATTATGTTAATATTTTAATATTTAAGTTGCACTCACTTTTGAGCTGCAATATGATAAGAGAGTAGTCGGAAATTTCCATCTGGTGGCACAAAGGAAAGCACGCGTTCGTTCTGGAAATGGATTCAAATCAAAGTTAGTGCATTGATTTCAAGTTTCCTGAGTCTCTGCGTTTAAATCTTTACCTCCCATCGCTTGAAGCGGACACACGGATGAAATGAGACATCGTCCAACAGTCGGGGATTCACCAAAGTCATCGTCAAATCCGGCATTCCCGATAATTTACAGCAGCAATCAACCTGAATAGATATTCTTTTAAAAAGTTAAAATGTTTAGCTTTTATGAAATCCATGATATTCCTCTTGACACTTACATATCCTTGTATTTCGGCAAAAACTGTGGACCCTTGTTTGTCAATGATGGCATCGATTTCCTCAATCACATCAAAGTACGCCTCATTGTTCGTATATTTCACCCCTAAATGATGCTGTAGATTATTAGAGAATTTTTTAGTTAAACAAAATGTAAAGTTTTACTGTCAGTCATCTACTTTATTCTCTCAACATACTAAAGTTAATCAAGAGGTACAATACCTTGTCTTCTCCATGGTATATTCGATAGTTGACCAGTGGGGAGAACTTCGGAAACATTCGTTCGACCAGTCACCTAGAAATTTTATCAAGTCAACTCTTGGCTCGATTTCTCACCTGGTTTGCAATATTTCTCAAGAAGTTCGGCGGTTTGATGAGATCTTGTAAGATATTCAGTTCAGTCACCAAAGGATATCCATTGTCAAGCATCTCATCGAGAAGCTGAAACGGTTTTGTTTATGATTCTGGGAATCAAGAATTACCTCAAAAACGATAACAATATTATCCTTGATCGCACTATCAGAGCACTCGTCAAAATATTGGGTAAACGTTTGCACGACTCGATGCAAAAACTCAAGAACCATCAATGGAGGGGCTGAAAGGAGATTTTGTACTGATTGATCATTTTAATGTTTACTTTCCGATGTGGTTACCGCCAGTAAATAGATTTGATTGTGATATACAGAGATCAAATAATGATGAGGTGTTGAAATAACTGGAGGTACATCTTCTGGGGAACTTGCCTGAAAATTGTTGTATGAAAAAGTGAGGCAATTTTCGTTTCATTCAATCATTCACAAACCTTTCGTTGAGCATCGAAAAAATAGTCACAAATCGATCGATGAATCACCGATTTCCAATGTTTTTCCAGTATAACATCACTGAAACAAATGTTTCGAAAAATTTGATTGCGTGACAGTGAGACTGACCAACTTACCCTGAAGTATTGACAATAAAAAGACTATTGAGCATCGAAGTAGGATTATTTAAAATAAATATTTGTTGGGAGGACTTCTAGTTTAGATTTTGTGCTTGAATACCAGTGGCTGAGCAGAGCAGATATCAATCGCCTCTTTGATAATTCCAACACAAACTACGAGCAAGTCCAATAATACGCCGGAGACGCCTTTTAGCAAACAGCATTTTGCTTCTGCTCGCCACAGCCCAGAAAAATTTCCTTCTTCTTAAAAGCAGTGGTAAGTGTGTTTTAGATGTATCATTTTATCATAAAATATGGCACAAATAACAAAGTTCAGAAAAAATGCATGCACACGAAAATTCACAAAAGCAAAATGAGCAACGAGCATTGTGGCAAAAAAGATACCCATTATTAAACAAAAATGGCACAAAAGATGATTTTTAACAACTACAAAAAAACTTCTAACCTACAAAAAGCCTAATAGTACAGACAGCTATAGTGAAGAACCTGAAGAACAAGCGTCACTAAATGCTAACAAGTTGAGTTTTGAAAGGCGGTTTATTCCTCTTCCTCGTCTGAAGAGCCATGCACCGATCCACGACGAGATGCAGCCGCTGATGGCACCTAAAACAAGATTCATAGTAACTTCCTAAATTTCAATAAACAGCCGATTTAACTTACCTTGCCCTCATTTGCAGCAATAATATCATCAATGTTGGGATGAAGCTTTTCAAGAGCCATTCGCCGAGCATTTCTAAAGAATGCAAATCTAAGAACTTCTTCACTAAACTCACTGATAGAAGACTCCCAGCTTCTTCCAATCCAGTACCTCGGAGACCCGTTCACAAGCATTTCTAAACAGTTTTTCATGTTTAAAATGAATAATTGAGGGAGTTTAATTACCAAAAAAACGAACCTTAAAATGATGCGTTGTCTCCGAGACAGCCCACAGAACTCGTACATAATTTGCGCAAGTTGATGAATCGCATCCTAAAAAATTTAAATCACTCCGCATAACATTTGCCAACCTCAGTGCCTTGGTTTCGTCTGTCAACGACGTACAGTCCCTTTTCCCAGTGCATCTTGATATGTTCCTAAAAACCAGACTTATTTGGGTTAACAACAAAAAATACTTCAATGAAGCATCCAAATCCAGACAAGTTGGTCGTTACTGAAGGGATTCCCATGACAGTGCATTCAGCTGGTGTGTAGCCCCAAGGTTCGTAATAAGAGGGGAAGACACCTAAAATGAAGTATAGATGTGTTCATAACGTCGAAAATGAAATACCCAAATGACATCCACGCACAAAGTCTTCATAATCAAGACCGATTAGCGGAGAAACTGATGAAAGAAATTCTAAAGTAAAACAAATGATCGAACTTTCGCAAGCCTTTACCTGGATGGAAAATAACCTTCACTCTATCGTGTCGTTGGTTGATTAATTGACATCGACGGAGAGCCCCCAGCACCTATAGAAAATATTATTATGCGAAAAAAAGCAGTGTACCTGATCTTGTGGGTTGAGCATATTGTGGGTGCAAATGGGTGGAAGTTCACGCTTTTGTGCTGCCACAATACACCGTTTCAACTAAAAAAAATAGATTTCATTAACAAAAACCTTATGTTACTCACCATGATCTTTTCATTGGGTAACAAGAACTCTTCGGCATTTGGAAGATTGCCTCTCAAGCAAGTCTCATACATCCGGGAAGCCATCGATTCCTTGATCTTGTCGATAGCCTCCCGTAGTTGTTTTGTAACGGCTTGACCCTTCAAAGACTCGACGTTGAAGTTGTTAGAGGGAGCTAAAGCAATCCATGTTGAAATCAGTATCTTGTAAGTTACCTGGATAAATTACAAAGGCGACCACTGTAACTCCTTCATAACGTGGATCCGTTGTTGTCTTTAAGATTTAAAATTAAATCGAAGCTATTAAAATAAGGTACCTTCAAGTAGTGATTGAGACGAGCAAGAGATTCAATAAACATATCACCACCTTTGTTGGAAAACTCGTATCTGAAAGGTCAAAAATAGAGAACCTATTCAAGATCGCCAACCTTCCAGCAGTGAAGAAATAGAGACATTTATCCAGATCGAAGTCCAAGTGTCCGTGAAAATGTCCACGGATAAAATTGTTAATCTTCTCCTTTGCAACTGCGTGTAAGTTCTAAAACCCAATTAGAGCATAAACAAACAAATTCAAAGCCTGGAACTCGTGAAGAGCAGCAAACTTCACAACATTTAGCCCATTTGGAGTGATGATATCGGGTTTACGCTAAAAAAGGTTTTGATTGGTACAAAAGATAAACCAACCTTCAACAAATACTCGGCTTCAAGTCCAGTAATATCCGATACTGTTGTGAAAATTTGTGCGCTGTAAGCGGCCGATCTTTCCAGACAATATTGATGGTAAATCTAAAACTTGTCGATGGTAACTTCAATTTCAAAAGCTAACATTTCGCTTTCCAGCTTCGGCATCCAAGTCGAATTTTGTTAAATTGTTGTAAAGATCGTTTCCACCAGCACAAAGATGTCTTCCAAGAAGGGTAGCATGTGTTGTGTAAACGGTCGCGACGTCAACGTGCCACATCCGTGTCATCAATAGGCCAACTCCTAAAGTTACTCCATCATTCTATTGATGCACAATAAAGTTGCCTGCTTGCCATTCGTGAAAGTGTCCAATGACGAGTGGTTGATATCCTTGAATTGATTCTCGGAAATGCCGAAGGAAAATTGCCACCATGAAGCCGAGAATAACAGCATCGTTGCTCTCCGTATCTTCGTGGGGAATTCCGATTTTTGTTCTAAATTAAATATTTAATAATAACAAGCGTAAGTGACCAATACTTCTCAAATAGTTCCTGTTTCCACTCATTCATCTTCAGAGCGCCGCTTCCCAAATCGAAGAGAATCACTTTCGGGTAACTCTCAATTAGCCATCGACCATAGGTACACTAAACAAACAAGTCGTTTTCCAAGGGCAATCATTCAAAAGCTACCCTGAATCCATCCATTTGCATCTTTTTAATTGCTTCTCGAATCGTTCGGTTTTCGGGCTCTATTGGTTCAACCTGTAAAATCAACTTATTGAAAAGTCAATCGAAGACGTTCATACCTGTATTAACACAGGTCTCATATTATTAATTTTAATCTTATACTATTGAAGAACAAGCTCAACAACATCTATTACAAATTAAAAACTAAACCATACTTCGAGCCTCCATCGTTCCTCTTTTTGTGGTCCGAGTAGGCAATACTGGTCGCCCAACTCCTCGACACTGATTGGTGCTTTTGAGCGGATGACCGTGTAGATTCCTCCAACTTTGTTCGCCACTTCCCAGGCACACTCAAAGACGAAGCGTCCCTCATTTCGAGCCGTTCGGCCGCCGTCCATCTCAACGATTTCTTCTCTAAAAAGAAAGATTACAAACGCTAAAAAATTTGTGAATTCAAAATGGTTATTTATTAAAATCGTGCCAATGATTATTTCAATTGCTTTAATAGTGACACAAAACCAACTTATCAAGCTCGATTCCGGCCATTGCTTTCTCCAGTTTTCCCGTTGACAGGGTTCGTGGCATTCCTGATGTCGCCATCGCGCCTAAATTGAAAATTTTAAATGAAAATGTTAATGTTTAGTGACCAGAAAAAACTGAATCAAAATCTAACAACAAAATCAAGGAGACGAAATCTTTGAAGCAATCAAATTCGGGTTAACAATCAAGCTTACACATAGGACATTCCATTTTCGCATTTACGTGTCTAAAATCTAAACGGATTCAATTTCAGTAAGTATTTGAGTAGTGAAAACCAAGCAATTCGACCAAAGAATCAATTTTGACGACTTATTGTTGTTCAGCGGGTGTCTCAAAAGAGGGGGAGTGGTTGTTTACTTGGCCGATTAGACAAAAGGGCAAATTGAAAAAGTAGACAAGAATCAAGTGGAATGATTTGTGCAGGGAATATAGTCGAGAATCCGAAAAAGCATTGTGCCAGATAAACAAGCGGTCAAAAAAATAAAAACACGAGATGGGGCGAATTTGTTGGGGAAAAGGGGGGACCATTGGCCAGCCAGGCGCTCGATACGAAATAAGATGAAAGAGGAGAAGTAGCAGAGATGAGAAAAAGCCTCCACACAAACTAACCAAGAAAAAAGGGGAATGGCAAAGCAACGAGCACTTTTGATTTGGAGAAAATGCATGAAATGAATGAAATCTTTTGCTTTTGATGATTGAATAAAAAATTGAATAGATTGAATAAAAAAAAGGCGCCACTACATTTCAATCCCCGCAGCTGGATATTTATTAGTCAGTTGTCATTCATATAAAAGTGGATTCTTCCAGAAATCCTCCATTCCTTCAGTTTGTCTAACGTGCGTACAATGTCAATTTCAATGTAACGTGAAAAAGTGGTGGTGCGAACTGTGGTAGAGTCTCATAAACAGTATATTTTTTCATCTCCCACCCTTTTCGACAATTCTCGGCAACAAAAATATTTCCAGGGTCAGCAATTTTCCACTCTTTTATCCGAAAAAGAAATATCGGCGATATCGAGCTAACAATTTGTGGTAGATAACAGCTAAGCGATCAAGTTTTATAAATGATCATTGATCGACTTTCTAAGCAGTAAATTGTACGTTAACATGGTCTGCTCTTCATTGAGTTTTAGTCTTGTTCAAGACTGTGTTCGATTTGTAGAACTGTATTCTACATTCTATCTCTTGTCTATAATCTTGAAAGCAATTTACCTACCTAAAAGTCTAAGAGCACAATCTCTATAATTGAACATCTCTAGATTTTTTCAAGCTCATCAATCTCCAAAAAAACGGAATCCAAAAACTAGACACTCCAAACAAGAGCCACTTTCTCTACAAATTGTGCCTATTATAGAGATGCTGCGAACTGCACACAGCTCTCAACGAAACACAGTGTAGCTTCTATGCGAATCGTGGAAACAGTGGAAATTATAGAGCATTTGAAACAGTGTAGGTTTCAGTTCTTTTCTCGAATTCTCTCAGGGTCAACTTTTTCCCTTTTTACCCTTTTCCCCACAAAAACATGCCTGAAAAGAGCGCTATCGAGCGATTTTTCTCTGCAATTCCCCTTTTGGGTCAATTATTTTTTTGGATATGATCTCTTTTCTTTCATTTCTCTGCTGATCTCGATGTTGACATCGATAATTTATGACCACATTATATTTCTCTCCAAAATTACCCTATCCGATTTTGCGCAAAGCCATCGGCAAAGATCCGTTCACTATAAAAAGCACAATTTGTTTTTAAAGTTATTTTCTTTTCTTTCTTGATTTTAATTTGCTAAAGCTTACGATAGTTTCCTTTTTCAGAATGAAATCCTTTGTCTCAGTTGCTTCCGATTCGGATTTTCCTTTGGAAAATCTGCCTTATGGAGTCTTCAGCGTGGGAAATGGACCAGTAAGTTAAAAATAAAGCAATTTCTATGGTATCAAAGTTTTAAAGTATACAAAAAGATGAGGTATAGTTGGATAAGACAAAAAGTTCTGAAGAAAAGAATGAACTTTTAGAAAACGATCGGTGTTGCTATCGGTGATCGAATTTTAAACCTTCGAGAAGTGGCTCATTTGTTCGAAGGGATTCCCACTCATGGAAAAGCAATTGCTCAGGCTTTTCAACAGGTAAAAATATAATTCAATGATTATTCAAGTACCATTCTGAAACTTGTTAAACTTCAGGATGCTCTCAACGATTTCATGGGATTACCAAGACCAGCGTGGCTTGAAGCGAGAGCTCTTCTGCAAAAATTGCTCTCCGATGATTGTCCAACTATCAGAGTATGAAACTACGACAAAACAACTTAAATCCAAATTCCCAGGACAATGCTCAACTCCAAAAATCGCTAGTTTCTCAATCGGATGCTCAGATGCATTTACCGGCTCGCATCGGGGATTACACCGATTTCTACTCTTCCATTCAACATGCCACCAATGTCGGCATTATGTTTAGAGGAAAAGAAAACGCTTTGATGCCAAATTGGTAAGTTGAAATGAGATTTAAAAGTCTATTGTTCGTTTTGCAGGAAATGGCTTCCAGTTGGTTATCATGGTCGAGCATCATCAGTTGTTGTCTCAGGAACTCCTGTGAGAAGACCACTCGGACAGACAAAGGCCGATGATGGTAAAAATTGTAGATAAAACTTTAGCTAAATATTGCTACTAAATAGCTTTAAAATTACCAAACAAATTTCCAGCAACCGATCCGACTTTTGGCCCTTGTCGCTTACTCGATTTCGAATTGGAGATGGCTTTCTTTGTTGGTGGACCGGAAACGAAAATGGGCGAGAATATCCCAATCGACAAGGCTCAAGAACACATTTTTGGAATGGTTTTGATGAATGATTGGAGCGGTCAGTGATTTCCAATGTTCTAAGGGTTGCTTTGAATAGGAAAAAGTTTCTTTACAAAAGTAACAAAAGATTTAAACATTAAACGATATAAACTTTCAGCTCGAGACATTCAGAAGTGGGAATACGTGCCACTTGGGCCATTCTTAGCGAAATCCTTTGGAACGACAATCTCTCCATGGATTGTGACAATGGAAGCTCTCAAGCCATTCATGATTGCCAATCCACAGCAAGTAAAGTCAAATAATTGAACTTTCCAACATTAAACAAGCCATTTAAACCCAAAACTTTCAGGATCCAGCCCCTTTGCCCTATTTGACTCACTCTGATCCTTACACTCTCGACATTGATCTGACTGTCTCTATCAAACGTTTGAAACAACTGATCTGCTTAAAAAAAATAACAGAATTTCAGCTGATGGAACCACCAACGATCACCCCGTTTGCCATACAAATTTCAAGAATCTCTATTGGACATTGAAGCAACAATTGGCCCATCACACAGTGAATGGATGCAATATGCGACCTGGAGATCTTCTGGGATCAGGAACCGTCTCTGGACCGGTAATAATTACAGATTAATTTACATAAACAATTCTAAACTTCAGGAAGATAACGAATTCGGATCGATGCTCGAACTCTCTTGGAAAGGGACAAAGACGGTGCCCGTTGGGGAGACAACGAGGAAATTCATTCAAGATGGAGATGAGGTAAAACACAAAATAAATGAAAGAAATCAAAAAGTTGTCGGAAAATATTTCTGCTGCACTAGGATAATGGTTTTTAACCTTCCAGGTGACAATCACTGGGTTCTGTTCAAAGGGCGGACTTCGGCTCGGCTTTGGCGAATGTCGCGGAAGAGTGCTCCCAGCTAGAAATATCTAGATCTTCTCACAAGATTGTTGAAGCTTAATAGAATTGATTTGTTTATGTCTACAATTATTAAATGTTTGTTTTTTCAATCCATGACTTTCCATTTTCACTTAAGCATAAATCGTTTGGTGCCTCCAAAAACTTTATCCGTTTAAAGAAAAAAACTGATTTCATCAAAAAAATCAATGAAAACGATGTCAAAAATGGCCCAAATGAAAGAAAAGTGAGAAAAGAGCAAAACAAGGGGGATCTGAACAACCGGAGAATGGCAATCAACAGAGTAAAGAAAATGGGATCTTTTGAAAGAAAGAAGAGAATTATCTGTACAAATCGGCTAATTAACACACTCGCGTTTATGCAAAACGATCAAAATTTGAATGTTCGCGTTGATCCGGCGCTAAAATCTCAGTCAGAGACCAAAAAAATCGGAAAATTGCATTGTCACGAATGTGTTAAGAAGTGGGGGTGAAGAAAAACGATAAAATGCACAGGCACGCTAGGTATCAATCACACAAACAGAAAGCAGCCGATTGCGTGAAGATTTTGGGGGAGATGTGAGCACAAAAAAAAAGTTATTTGAAGTTTAGTTTTAATAGATTGAGTTGAAGAAGTGGTAACCATTTGAGTGAGAGTTTAAAAAAAGCTCTTGAATTCATTGAAAAACTTACAGTCACCGAGCACAAATGCCTACAGTAAAGACGTTTTTTAGCTTTCTTATGAAAAACTTATTCAAATCAGTTACAGGTCATTTGGATCCTTAGCAAATCCCAAAGTAATTCTTTATTTTGTATGCAAATTTGCTGATTACTGGAACTTGCAAGTTCCGTTCACCAAGTTATCGCTTCTTCAAGTGAGAAAACCAAAAAACAACCATCAAAAAATTATGAAGCTACATGAAGTCACCCATGCCGTGTGAAAACATAGAAACGATTCACATAAATATGCACCCGAGCGAGAAAAAAATTTCGTGGGGAGAACGGTGAAAAAAGCCTTTAACAAGGTGAACAACTTGAGATTGAGTCACCTCAATTTTCACTCAAAGGACAATACTTGGCTTATCCAAAATGTTGCCAAAGTGCAACTAAATAAGCCAAGTGTAGTAACAAGCGCTCAAAGCGTCCGCGGGAATTAATGCACAACACGAAACTGTCAATGAATAGAGACGAAGAAAACCCCACAAATGAACAAAACAAAAGGAGCGACTGATGGTGATGGTGAACCCGAATTGGACAGAATTAAGAATGGAGAAAGGCAGTCCGGGGTAAATTGAAAAATATTTAAAAGATTCGAAAAAAGAGAAGAGAGATCGATATACTTGGGTTGAGGCTCTAAACTGAAATCGAGATGTGTGGAAATGGGAAAAGAGACCCAAAAGAAAAAAAACACCTTTGGAGACCCATTTTTGTATTGTTAGACTCAATTTGAGTGAAGAGCCAGAAACAACAACTAGATTTATAAAAATAGAAAGAAAACTCGTTGAGCCAATTGTAAGATCCTATATATTGGCAAAAACGAATGTAAAAACTATAAAGAGTAAAAACGGGGTCGCTTCAGGGGTTGTGAGCTGCGAACAGCGCACCGAAAACATCAACAGAAAGTTGCTTAATCCAAAAAGATCCACTTTTTGGAATTGGGGAAGGGGAGGTGGAGAAATACTCGACTCGATACATTTCATGAAAATCACAACGATTTTCTCGGCGGTGCTTCAAAATTGGAGAGAAAAGAAAAAGCACTTCTGGAAAACCCAAAAATCTCTATGCTCAGTTCGTGGGAATCGTGAGGGGGTTTGAATCCTGAAAGCCTGATGGTATTAATGAATTGAATAGAACTAAAGTCATTTCCAGACCCACAATTCATAATACTAAAGACCATTGTAACAGAAAGCGATAAAACAAATTGAATATAACTAATCAATTGCCTATACCGGTTGGGAACCTGAATGCATCTTTTCAACAAATGAATACATGTAGGAGAAAAATTGAGGGCCAACATCGGATAAATGACTTTGGGAGGGCATTTTCACACAAAAGACAAACAAATCAGCTACAGGAAAAAAATACAACCAGAGGAAAAACCCTAGTGTAAAAAAGAACCACGCGAAATGTGCGTAGAAGAAAAATCATGTCACATTTGATAACACATAGTACTAAAGAGAAAAAGATTGACAGACGTAACCGACAAACACAGAACAAAACTTATTATGGGCATTTCACAAAAAAATCCAAATACCCCGCACTAATAGAGCACATGACAAATACACAAGGAATAAAAAGGATAATGAAGTCTGGTCGGTCATTTAGTCGCACGTTTTGCACAAAAATAAGTTAGGCTTGAAAAGTGAACAAAGAAAAAATAAATCAATTCGGCACAGTCGCGGTTCTCGGTTGCCATTCGCCACCAATCGAAAGTTGATTCATTCCATTGACCTAAAAAGAGAAAATATTTTTAGAATATTAATAACAATGTTTTCCCTGCTTATACTTTACTAAACTTCAAAAAGCAAATTTAATTCAGCTTACCAATCCTCCTGGTCCCATCATATTTCGCATCGGTGCAGGAGTTCCATTGATGCCACCGCGATTTCCACCGCCACTCGGTCCTCCACGATTGCCTCTGTAACCTCCGCCACCGCCACGATTGAATCCTCCGCGCGCAATAGTTCCAAAGCCTCCTGTAACATCATGAATGATTACAATTCGATGTTAAGTATGTAACAACGTAATTAACTTGTAGTTCAAAGTACCCATGGTTATTTTTATCGAATATCAAAACACAAACCAGGGCCGCCAAATTGTGGCTGGACGGGATTGAATTGAGGGTTGAATGGAGGAGCGCCGCCAAAGTGAATTGGCGGAGGAGGTCCAGCTGGGAAAGGTACCATCCCCATCGGGTGCATCATACCACCTATAAATCCAATTGACTTTTAAAGTTTCATTAAACAAAACCAACCTTGAAATCCTCCACGTTGTACTCCGCCAAAATTTCCTCCGCCTCTTGGCATTCCTTGATTGTTATTCATCACAAAGTTGTTGCGCATTTGACCATTCTAAGGAAAATCTTTATTGCTTAAACCGCTTTATTAATTTAATTATGGAAAAAAACGATACAACAACTCACTTGGAATCCATTCGTTCCTCTGCCACGTCCACGTGCAAACTTGTTATTGCGTTGATTGAAAGATTGTGTAGCAAGTGGTGGAAGCCAATCGGGGACGTTTTGATTCGATTCGTTTAACACAGCCAATAAGTCACGCGCAAGTCCTTTGTTCTAAAAATGTAAACTTACAATGAATGTGAACCACTAAACGATTAACTAGACACTTGCAAAGAAAAACTCACTTTCTCGGCAAAGAACGACGAAGCTTGTCCCTGATTTCCACATCTACCAGTGCGGCCAATTCGATGAACATATTCGTCGACATCATTCGGCTGAAAATAATCATGAGTTTTTCAATACACAAACTTCCTCGAAATAAAAATAAACTTTTATACTCACCATATCGTAATTGATCACATGTTTCACATTGGGAATATCCAATCCACGAGCTGCAACCTGCAAAAAAAATTTACGACGTTCAACGAAAATCATGATACCGCTGTTGCCACAAGAATTGGGTTGCTTCCATTCTTGAACATCTCCAAATTTCGTTCCCGATCTAATTGCTTGAGATCTCCATGAATAGCAACAGCTCTAAAATAACCTCATTGCAAGTTAAAAATCGAGTGATTAAATCGTAGGATATTAAACAAACCGGTGTCCAGCTCGCTGAAGTTGGAAAGCCAAATCATTGGCGGCGCGACGTGTCTCAACAAAAACGAGGATCAACGCATTTCGTTCTACAAAAATATATTACGAGATCAATTTCGATGAGTACCTTCGTTGTCAAGTAAATGTTGCAATTGTCCTCTCTTCTCATATTCTTCCACCCAAATGACGTTTTGATCAATGTTTTGCGATGTGGATCCAATCCGACCAACGGCTAGATGCACAAAGTTTGGCTTCAGAAAGTCTTCGGCAAGCTTCTGAATATTAAGTTGAATATTTAAAACTTGAAGCAAATCTTACTTTGATTTCATTCGGAAAAGTGGCACTGAACATAGCCGTTTGACGTGCCATTTTATCCGGGAGCCCAAGAGAAACGATTTTTCGAATCTTAAAAGACAATTCAGATACTAGGTTTGTTTATGGAATGCTTACTTGTGGTTCAAAACCCATATCCAACATTCGATCAGCCTCATCCAGCACCAAGAACTTGCATTGTTCGAGTGACACATAGCCTTGGTTAACAACGTCAATGAGACGGCCGGGAGTCGCGATAACAATATGGCAACCATACTAAAATGACAAATTTTTAGTGAAAAAGTTGCCAGTAACCTGCACAATATTTTAATTTAAAAGCTTACTCGACTCTTGTTCAATTGATCACGATAATTTTCTTTTCCGCCATAAAAAATAGCTGTCATCACATTTGTGCAATAGCTAAAGACTCGGATTTCAAGATTTTAGATAACACAAACCTGAATTTTGTGGCCTCTTTGTGAATTTGAATTGCAAGTTCCCGAGTTGGCGAAAGAATCAGCGCAAAGGGAAACTGTTTCATCCGACGAGCTTGCTGATTCATTTCCTAAATCAATTACTTGCTATTCTTTTCTTTCGTTGAAAGGCTTACTTCATAAGGTCTCAATCCAGAAGTGACAATGTGCTGAATGATTGGAAGCAAAAAGGCAGCAGTTTTTCCCGAACCCGTTTGTGCGCAAGCCATAAGATCACGTCCCGAGAGCAACGATGGGATTCCATGTTTCTAAGTCAGTGTTCTTAAAGCTTAACTCTTATCACCCATACTTGGACCGGAGTCGGCTTAATGTATCCACTTTTGTCAACGTTCATTTTGATAACGTCATCGAGATTCGCATCGTGAAACTAAACAATTTTCATTACATTGTAACTGGTTAAACAAACTTCGTTGACAGGCGTAGGCACATTGTCACCACGAATGTTCACTGGAATGTTCTCGTAGTTCTCAAAATTGATCGTCTGTTGGGGTTGCTAAATGTAAATTCAATCAAGTAAGCTATCAATAATTTTACCTGAACTTGTTGATACAAAGCAGGATCCGATCGAGAAGGTGGCAAAGTATGTGGCATGTTGATGTCAAATGGTGGAGGTCCAACCAGCAACGGTTTCTAAAATTTCGAGTTTTTTGGGTTAAGTTCGATATGCCACAAGAACTTAAACACAAAGAGCTAACCGGTGCTTCGAATGGCTGCATCAATCCACGATCGTTCGAGTGGCCATTAGGAATGAATCCATTCATGCCACCGTTCATCGCTCCATAATTGTTCATTGGCTGTTGAAAGCTAAAGAATTACATGTTAGTTTCATATTTAATTTAAGCACGCATTACCCGTTAGCCATCTCGAAACCATTTACGGAGCCACCGATGAAGGTTCTAGCCGGTTGCTGTGGATTTTGATGAATGAGGTTCATCAGTTGAGCATCAGACTAAAAATAAACGTTTAAAGGTCCGAATTTGACGCTTGTCAAAATTTAATGTAACGCGTGGGGTTCATGCGCAAAATAATAAATGGAAACATCAAAACTAATTTGTGTAACATAAATCAGAAAATACGCACCGCACTTCCACTGATTTGTCCTCTAAATTGATTGGCCTTGTGAAAAGCTGGAGCTGGCGTTCCATAATGTGAGACCGGAAAGTCTTGCGTTGGAATACCGGGTGGACCGCGCGGTGCTGCTTGAGCGCCCGCTGCTCCAAATTGGTTCGCTTGCGGAATCTAAACAAAACTATGTAAGCAGACAATGTAAATCATGTAGCATTTTAAAGATCATAATAGTTAATATAATTAGCCCGTTAGGTGCTCAACAAAATATAAATGTTAAATTGCTTACTTGAAACATTCCAATTTGCCCATCCATCACTCCCGGTGGGGCACCAATCGAGAACCCGTTGTGCATCTGTGGCGGAGGAGCATTACCTGCTGGTGGGCCATTCCATTCGCCGATAGGACTAAAAAGAGAAAGTTTGAAAAAGCACTAATACAAGCTTGCGCTGATTTCTAGTTAATTTTTTGCTGTAACTGGTACAAACAAGCACACATCTTGAAACAAACTTTCTTTACACTATACGCAAATGCAATAAGAGCAAATCCTCTGCCATTTAGAAAGTTAGAACTTTATCGACAAAAAAAATCCCACTTACCCGTTGTTGAAGAAGCTTTGAGTACTCATGTTTTATTGCGTGAAGACGATAAAGCGATGAAGAACAAATTTGTTGAGACGATGAGGAAAATCCGAAGAAATGACGAGATCCACACAACAAATCAATCGAAAGAGAGGAAACGACACGAGTTGACCGACCAGACCTGAGTTTTCTCACCCGAAGATCGAGCACCACGTCTGAAAATAGAAAAATTAAGCTAATTCCACATAAAAGCAAGAGAAAATGGTAAAAACGTAAAAAATCGAGGGTTTCTACTTGAACTGGCGGTGTTTTAGTTGCTGGGATACGTTGAATGAAGACAATATACTAACTATAGGCTTAGATTTAAAAATTTCGATAATGTTTGCCAGATAAAAACAACTTGAACAGATTATCAGTTAGATGGGTCCACAAAAATCTTTCCCCGGGCAACCAATCACAAAAATTACGCCACCGCTTGGCGGTGGGTACGGTAGGTGGAGCAGGGTTTAGCAAGAGCCGAGACAAGTGAAAAGTGAGAAAATTGGGACAAATGCGATCTATTTTTGACCCATTAGCGGACCTTTTTCGCGTTTTAAAAAAGCTCTTAAAAAGCTAATATTAACCTATTTCTATTTCAAAAGCTGTTTTCCTGGGTAATTTTAGGCCATAGAATCCAAATTTTGACATATCAGACCTTGTGGAATCAAACGGACGGAGTTATACATAGGGAAAAATCGACAATTTTCCGTAAGTGACCCTAGCCGTTTTATGTTTCAAATTGGTTTGACCAGCTCTGATATGCCAAAATTTGGATTCTACGCCCTGAAATTACCCAGAAAAACAACCTTTGAAATAGAAATTGGTTAATATTAGCTTTTGAGGGGGTAGGCTAATTTCCGCAATGTTTTTTTGCGCAACTGGGTCGTTTGCGCAAAAAAAAAAACAAAAATGCATCAGAAGAAGCAAAAGTGGCCGATATTTTCAAGGGAAAATAATTTATTTACCTATACTTTTGGCGCAAACCCGACTTTTCAAATTTTTAAATTTTTAAAAAATGTGGATTCGAGGGCGGAACCATTCCCCAACCTCCAGACGCGATCCAACCACTGTGACGCGCGGGGACTATTGCCTGCTCCCTTTCGGGCCTGAGCCATGTGTCCCTCCTTGTCCGCCCGAGACTGCCGCCTTTCCGGGAAACAGCCTCTAGCGACGTGCCACTTGGTTTGGACGTCCGGTCGTCGGCTGCGGGCCGATCCCGATCAATCCCTCTCCTCCACACCCGCGGTCAAGAAGCTGACTAACAAGCGCCTGCCACGACGCCCCGCGGACAGGGGGGCGAAAAAAAGGGGTTATAAGGGCTCGGTCTCGGTTTTCTTCAGAAGACGTCGGCTTGTCTGATCGATTTACAAGCCTTACTTGGACCAATTGAGATGAAATTTTTTGTGGATGTAGAATTAATGGTCTAGTTTCAGAATTTGAAAGCAAATTAGGCAAAATCTCACAAGGAACTTTTTATATGACTTTTGATCAAAACTTGCCAAAAGGCGGAAAATTCTGGTGATTTTTCACATGAAAGTCTTGAGTACTGATCGAAAATAGTCGAGAATAGACTTTTTCGATAAATTTCTGACTAAATAACTTTATTTTGACATATTGTTGTGGCATCAGTTTTGTTTTTAAAACAAAACAAAACAAAAGTAGCATGAATTGTTTTTTCGCTTCTTGGAACAATCTTTATCTCTAAATCAGTTAAATTAACACAATAAGTTCAACAAAGATATAAGTATTCAATTAGCAATAATAAGGTGAAAATCTTTGCTATTCAATGGAAATTCACATAAAAAACCAAGGCAACGAATCCTATTTTGTACAAAGCGTATTCTCTACAGGATGCGCCAGAATTACGACTATACCTTTTCAGCGGATTGCATACCAGACGCCGCAAAAAAATCCAAAAATCCTAAGTGTTATATGGAGATTTGAAGCCTGAATTCTTGCCTACATTTCTGTACCAAAATATCTTTGATTGTAGTTTTGCAGCCCATTTTTCAGATTCTCAAAGGAGCCCAACCCGACCAGTCTCCGGCGCGCTTCCGCAAAGCACACAGCTGCAAAACTCCAATCAAAGATCTTTTGGTACAGAAATGTAGGCAAGAATTCAGGCTTCAATTCTCTAGATAACACTTAGGGTTTTTGAATTGATTGTGGCGTTTGGCATGCAATCTGCTGAAAAGGTGTAGCCGTAATTTTGGCCCACCCTGTATATGACACAAAGGCTAGCTGTATACAAAAGATCAATACAGAAAAAAGAGACTTAAAAGTTTTTTACCCAAATATTTTATGAAAGCCAATAGCTTGTAATCTCATCTTTTGAAACTCTCATTTTGCGATGGTGAGGGTACAGAGCGAGTTTCCTTCATTCACGCTTTAACAAACCATTATTTGCATTTAATTAAAAATTTATTTAAAGATTTTGTCTTGACCCATAACATTTACACACGGAATATCCGTGTCAAATTTTTGGCCTTTTACCCAAAATCAATTCATTGACCACACTGCAGTGGCAATTGCTCAATTACGGTAACCCGAGAAACTAATAAACAGGGTTTTCTCGTTTCAACACCTGCTATATCAATCTCAGAATGATAGCTCAATAACTTGCAAAGTGTGAAAAGATCCACATAGCACAGATCATTCAAAGTATAGCACAGATCATTCAAAGTATCAATCTTAAAATCCAATTCCATATTAGCACTATTCCGGCGTGTTCAAGATTTGAATGCCGTTTCGAGATAGGAAGGTTCATTTTTCTCATTTTCCAGGATAAAAAATGTACCAAATCTCCTTGAAAACCATGATTAACGCCAGCTAAAAAGAGCGGTGTGACACCTCTCTTCGTACGTTCTCCACCGCCTCGCCTAATCGCGCTCTTTCTGGCACACGGCCGCTCTCCAAGACACTCAAACGGCTGGCTGTTTTTGAAATATCTAAACACTTGCCCGGGTCTTTTTTAAGACCCTGGTTGATCAATTTTTGGATGCTCTTCGCAAGAAGGGTAAAAATTTCAGTCTTCTCAAGTCTTGTCATTCATTGATTCCATAGTTCATCACTACATAGTTGTTCATCGGTTGTTGCAAGCTAAAGAATTACCAGTCAGTTTGATATTTCAATCAGGAATTCTTACCTGTTAGCCATCTCGAAACCGTTTCCGGAGCCACCGATGAAGGCTCTAGCCGGCTGTTGTGGACTTTGATGAACGAGGTTCATCAGTTGAATTCCATGGCAGAGTGGTCTATATGCGTGAGGTCAATATGAGGCTCCAATAGGGGGTTGTTTGTTCGACTTCCCCTGGGAGCGTGAACGTTTTGTAAAAAAATATTCTAATAGTTTTAGATACTTTAATGGTGTAGCTACAAACATGACGTGTCAGAACTCAAAAAAGTTTTGAAAAACGAGTGTTTTTCAAGTCTTCGCAGAGTTGATCAATTTTTATTTTTTTGGTATCAAAATGATCTTTGCACACGTCCACACAAAAGTTATCGGTTTTGAGGGCGCAATTTTTCGACCACGCTGAGAACGAGCCACTGAAAGTTGGTCGCGGCGAGCGAGTTGCTTGTAAAAGTGCGGTTTTTTCGATAAAAGGCGTTTTAAAAAAATCGAGCCAGACGGATTTCGATAATTTCTTCACCATTCGATTCAGCACAATTTTCTGCATCGAATGGATATTCAAACGTGGAATTCTGATAGAGAACGTTTTTTTTGCCTTATTTCGCGCGGATGTGGGTCGGGACTTAGGTAATTAAACCGGCTTCAAAAAAATCATGTTTTTCTAAGATAACCAATAATTTTTGAAGGCTCAAACCAATTCTGAAGGAAATTCTGTCCCGGGAACATATAGCATACATTTATGGAGAAGTTAACTGCTAGAAATTAGCGTATAGAATAAAAAAAATTAAAACTGTGAAAATAAACTATTTGGAGTTTGTTGGCCTAAATTTGAAAGCCGGATTCGGGTTCCAGAGTCTTTTAAGCCCATTTTAGCCTAAGATTTCGTTATGCATTTTGATCCCTGGTCCAAATCGAACGTTTGGTCCAAAAAGGTGTGCGCTCGTCAATGGGTTAAAGGGACAACCATTTATTTACCTTTGCTTTTCGCAAGCCCGACTTTTTAAAAAGTAAAATTACATTTTTCAAAAATGTGGATTCGAGGGCGGAACCATTCCCCAACCTCCAGACGCGATCCAACCACTGTGACGCGCGGGGACTATTGCCTGCTCCCTTTCGGGCCTGAGCCATGTGTCCCTCCTTGCCCGCCCGAGACTGCGGCCCTTCCGGGAAACAGCCTCTAGCGACGTGCCACTTGGTTTGGACGTCCGGTCGTCGGCTGCGAAAAAAAGGGCTTATAAGGGGTCGGTCTCGGTTTTTCCGAGATTAATTTTCCGAGTTAAATAGAAGAACGACAACACAATCAAAAGCCAACAACCATTCTGGTTAGGGCTCCGTAAGTTCACCATCATTTTCGACAATTCATAAGGCTGTAAAGAGCACCGGCCATACGAAAAAATTTGACTGTTCGATCCAAATTTTTCTGAGCACATACTTTGTAAAAAACATATCGAGCCAGATTCCCTAAAATGTGAGCGTTTCGGCGTCCTGATGAGGACATTGTTGTCGAGTTCCCTCAATCGAATCGTGTGTGCACCAGTAATAGGATCTTTGAAGTGAATCGAATGATTCACTTTTAAGTGTTCGCAGCCTTCACTTTTGAGACAATCATAACCAACTTCTTTATCATCACAAAATTTCCACAAATCGACGAGTCTCACGACGGGACTAACAAGGGAGGTTTGTCAACTTACCACCAGCTTTTAAAACGTGACCTAGCACATCTAGACCAGTTTTTCGCGCTGATTCCGAATCTGTACTCAAATCGCCCTCTGAGGCCAGAAAAATGGTTTTAAAGTTGGCTCGAAAATGGTATTTGTGGAAATAAGACATCGCCTTTAAGAAGGAAGGTTAGGGTTAGGGTTAGGTAACAAGTGATGTT